CACTACCCTATCGCTATGGTTAACTTCGTCTCTCTGCCCACTTCGTCTTCGGGCTCACTGCAGACCTCCTTGCACAAGTCGCTGTGGCAGCGCTTCCGCATGGCTCACGCAGCAATGAATGAATGGCTGGGCGCTGCCTCTTGATTTATACTTCTGCAGCTCGTTGGTCTACCCTTTCCCATCGGCCCATGGTGCACACAGTCCCTCATGGTACTTGATGGACTGGACTGGGACTGACTGGACTGCACTGCTGACTGCTTGGGGACTCACTGCTAACCTACTGAGGTCGTACTGCAATTGTGCTGCAGTTAGTCCACCACTTGGCTCACCACTTGCCCACTTGCCCACTTGCCCACTTGCCGACTTTCTAGAAGACTACAGCTAAGACTTCTAGACTTTACGAAGACTTCTATTCGACAGACCTACACAGCTAAGACTTCTAGACTTTACGAAGACTTCTATTCGACAGACCTACAGATCGAACCCCTACGACCTACGGACCTATGCCAGCCTACCAGTTGTTTACGAGTACACAGGTCACGGGTTCAACTCTCGGGGTCTACACAGCCTAATACAGGTCAACTCTCGGGGTCTACACAGCCTAATACAGGTACTGTACACGGTAGGGTAAGGACTAGGGATCCAGCCCTGGGATCTGCATCTGCTACTGCAAAAAGGTGAAAACCGTTTCAATCAATAGATCAATCAATCAATCAATCAATCAATCGTTCAATCAATCAATCTATCTATCAATCAGTCAATCGATCAATGGATCAATTGCAATCGCACATGTGGACGTTGTTTTATTTTGAAAAAAAAAAAGGTGCCATTTTCATAATGGCTTCCATTTTATAGCACGCGGCACATAAACAGCTACGTAGTCCAACCACACCGACAACCAGCAACACCAGCACAGCGCCCGTCCACAAACAAAGCCCCGCCGGGCAGACGTGGCAACCCCTCCAACCCCCCTGCATTCCGTTTCCCCACCCTCACCTTCTGTTCCCCCCCCCACCCCCCCGGTCTCTCTCAGCGGACGAAGGACGAAGGACGACGGACGCGGCGCCATCAACTGCGGGACCTTCCGCTCAGCACAGAGATAAGGCGAGGAGGTGCCACTACGACGACTCTCACGACCTTCCGTCACCATCGTCTCCGTCGTCCTTCCTTTCGTTGGCGATAGGTCCCGTCCCCATCCAATCCATCCTTGCTGCCACGTCAGGGTCCGCCAATCCGGCATTGTAGTTGAAGCTTACTCCGCACGCCGCCTGCTCCGGGATGTAGTTGGGAAACATACCCAACGTCACAGGCGGCTTCCCAAGGCAAAACAAAACAGCATTCCCAGAGTTGACAATATGCCTGCGCCAGTTGAAAGCCTGCGACCCTGCCGCCCGCAGCATCGGCTTCGCGACGAGCTGCGAGTAGTACAACGCCTGGTAATGAGAACGGGCGTCGTCGCCACCCATGCGCATGATCCACATTTTAGCGGCCGACACTGACAAAACTCAGCGTCAATCATACGTACCCCAGGTCACACATACAGACTACGAAACCCAGAGACATAAATAAAAATCTCAGGGACTGCAGTTGGTACACTTAGGAACAGTTGCAACAGACTTCAGTCGAAATTCCATGGGAATTTCAGATGGGTGAAAATTACTCAGTGATACTCACCCATCTGAGATTCCCATGGAATTTCGAAGGTTGCAGCTTTTTTTCTTCCTCTTCTTTTCTTTTCTCTCCAAAATCTCAGACGGTTGCAATTTTTTTTTTATATAATTTTTTCTTTTCCTTTTTTTCTTCTTTTTAAAAATCCTCAACTTTTGGAGGGGAAAGGAAAGAAGAGGAAAAATAAAAAAGCTGCAGGCAAAGTCAAACAGCTTTCTCAGAAAGCAAATTGGGCCAAGTCCCACTTACCCGTATCCTTCATTTTTTACCCTAGAATCCCCCTAGATTGCAAAGAAAGAAAGACGGTCAGAATGAACAATTTCGCCAAGCTAGACTTGGCTCCGGGTCATTGAGGAGTAGTCAGAATAATAAGCATCCAAAACTGTTGTCGGTCTTAGCAATAGCATCTTTCTCCCCGTTTACCCACAAGAGCTTATCAAACCTGCTTGTGTCCCTGCTACTCAAGACGCGTGCAAGTTGACGACACTCCCAGAGTACCTTATTGCAACGACGGCTACCCTTAGGGCATACTCACAGGAGGACCTTTTACACTAACTCTGGACGTGATTGAAGTCAGATTCATTCAGGTTCGTTAGCAATTGCAGTCAGATACACTTAGAAAGAACCCGTAGAGTCAAGTACAGAAGCTTACAAGTGACTTTCGCCGGACAATTGTTCATACGGAATTTCGTAGCTCTTCACCTGTCTGAAACCGACATGAAAGAGATCCTCCTCTTTTTCTTTTTTTTTTCCGTTGTTTGTTGTGACCACAAGGGTCATGGATCCGGCAAGACGCTGCCTTGGGATATCATCATCCCAATGAACTGACCAATTCCAGTTTCTTCAGAATGATTTTATTCTGGTGGTCATCTAATTGCCTATGGATTCGAACTTCCGCGCACTTATTTCAACAGTTGATGGGCTTGCCAACTAAGCTAGGCCCGCTGGTAGGTACTTGAGAATAGCCGGAAGGGCTATTCCGTCTATTCTCAAGTACCTTGGGCTATTTTCAT